TGATACCGAAGAATTCAGGAGCTTGTGCACAGGGTACAACATCGTCAGGATCGGCGCAAGATAATGTGAGCTGGTTGAAGACAGTTTGATTTCCGCAGAGGAAAGACCATTGTTGAGTCTCCCTAGAACCGTCCTCTGTCTCAATAGAATGGCAGACGTGGAAAATTTGGCAGTTATTGTCTACGTCGGCGTAGTAACCGTCGTTGAAGCAAGAAAATGTTGTTTTTACGGGACCTACTAAAAGGTCAGCACCATCAGGGAGGGCATATGCCTCACGTTTTGCCCTCTGAAAAAAGAAATTCCTTTAATTGCAACACTAATAGTTTTACACATTTTTTTAAAAACTGTAATTTTGACAGAAATTTTTAACGCATAAGTGAAAAGTAATAAATTCTAGGATGAGGTACTTAAATATCTTGCAAAAGCCGAGCACATTTAAGAAATTTTCTAGATAAATGACCGAGAAATATTGACGACCAAAAATCTAAGTCTGTGAAAAAAACTTTATTTCTCCTCTTTCTTTCATAATATTCCTGCTTTATATTAGTCTTACACATTTTTTAATTTTGTGTACAATTACAGGTTGCAAACACTGTAAATTAAATTGTTAGTACCATAGTATTTAAATAAATTTCTAATGTTAGGAAAAAATGCTGTATCTATTATACGAGTATAAGCCATTTATATTCATTAAAACTAAATTTCGTATAAAAACTCAGAAAAAGCAGAAGCAGTTACGGTTTGCTAATCGATTTACCTCGCGGGTAATTGCTTTGAACGAAATTGTTCTATTATATTTCAGAAACTAGTGTTTGTTATGCAGTAATTGATGTTCTATTATTGTGATACTGAAATTGATGTATTGTAATTCATATATTATAATTGATCAACTGTAATTGATATACTTGCAATTGATCCACTGTAATTGATATATTGCAATTGATCTACTGTAACTGATATATTGCAATTGATCTACTGTAATTGATATATTGCAATTGATCTTCTGTAATTGATATATTATAATTGATCTATTGTAATTGATATAATATAATTGATCTACTGTAATTGATATATTATAATTGATCTACTGTAATTGATATATTATAATTGCTCTACTGTAATTGATATATTATAATTGATCTACTGTAATTGATATAATATAATTGATCTACTGTAATTGATATAATATAATTGATCTACTATAGTTGATATAATATAATTGATCTACTGTAATTAATATATTGCAATTGACCTCCAGTAATTGATATTCTAGAATTTGATGTTCTTTATATAGTATTTGTGCTCAGATACAAAATACCTACCTTCGCATTTGATCACACATGTACACTAAGTTACTGCAGTGATCTCCAATAAAATGAAGTTTCTAAAAAGGATTTACGGAGAAATTGTCGAAAACTAATGCTTCTAAAATTCGTAAATAAAAAATATCTTTTGGAAAATAATGCGTAAATTGCGTTTACATATTTATAACGACTCCGCTTCGTAGAGCAAAAATAAATTAAAATTGCTCAGTCTCAAAGCTTCTGGAGCGACAATTTTCAATCAAAAATATAAAATACATGCACAATTGAACTACGATTAATATTTTTGCTATATTTATTATAACCTTTGACTACGAATTAAAAAACATTACCTCGTTTTCTATCCATGGGAAAGAAATATGTCATAAATAAGGTAAATTTAGCATTTGGGAGTTTTTTTGACAAACGGTTCTCAAGCCAAAGGTTGAGACACATATGTCCCATCCGTAGTTAATAGTAAAATACGTGTGTCCCACACGTAGCGATTGGCTTACTATAAGCATATCTATTATTCTGGAAAACTTGTTTATATGAAATAGATTGTACATCGTATGATACACGGTAAAGCATACTTTGCATGACCCAACATTGCAACATAATGCAATTCATATTTGTTCTTTTCAGTACAGCGGCGTGAGGATTTTCCAACTATTGGAAGATGATCGCTCACATTTAGGAGATTCTAAAGAGACTTTTTAACCTAGCAGTAATTTTTAAACTTTTAGTGGGAGATATAGGTCCTATTAATAGTCAAAGAATTAAATAAAGATTATATTTCTAAACTTTATAAGCACAATTAAGTGATTATGTCAAAATAATACACGCTTCACTATACTTAATAACAATTTAATTATAAACTATATTTGAAGTGGGAATTTAAATAGATTTACCTTTGCAACTGCATATGTTACAGCCAGGATCATAACACCTATAACAGGAAAATAAACATTTCATTAAAAATAATTTTGAATTTACACTTGTTACCTTATATTGTATAAAGGAAAGCAATTCTTTTATATCTATGAAATATGAATAATTAACTTACTTAAAATAAGGACTTTCATGATTATGCCTTTTATCCAAAAAGGGAAAATGCTGTAGTGAAGAAACTGAAAACGAAAGGTACTGAAAGGTACTGAAAACGAAAAAAAAAAAAAAAAGATTTTATTTTTTAGGAAGAAAAACAATTTATTACCATGCTAGTTCATAACTGGAGTTTTGAAAAACGCTATAAAAGAACGAAATGATATAATTTCAAAATAAATTATTATATGGTAAAAGATAAAATAATAAAATGAAAAAAAATCTGAAAAGTTTCAGATTTTAACTTTCGCCCAAAAGGGTTTGTTAAGGTTTCTTACGCTGTCCCTGAGCTTGCATTCTACCACTTAGCTTTATTATTAAGAATAATTTTCTTCGCACTTACACAGTATACAATTCAACATCAAAATTATAAACGTTTTTAAGGTATTACAAAGCATAGCAGTATACGCTTAGCATTCCCGTTGCAGCGTTAAATGTTCGCACACATTTTCTGAGTCTTTTCTCATTTCATCTTATCAATGTTCAGTTTTCTTTCAAAACTTTTTTTGTCTTTATATTATTAACGTTTTGTAGCTTTACTTTACTTATTAAATATCATGTTCTTGAAGCTAACGCCACATAAACTTCTATTCAGCGGCAAAATCATAAAATATTTTAAAAACCGTATTCTTTAGAATTTCCGATAGACAGTCTCGCGTAGTGGAGATAAAAATGTTTTATGCGGTACAGGGTTAAAATTCCATAATCGGAGAGACCGCCAAGCTTGGCGAGAGTTTTTTATTTGGCGCGATTTTAATTGGTTGTGTTTTCCGGCTGTATGTTTTCTTGTGGCAAACCTAGAGCTTTATTTCGGTAACTGTAAGAGCGCGAATTTAGTGCAGCCAGATTTTTTTTTTAAATTAATTTGAAATACTATTTTTTGTTTTTTAAAGTTTTATGTTTAATATTTATATATATGTTTATAATATATTTATATGATATTTGCAGAAGGTTAAGCTGTTGTTGGTGGGAGAATGTTGGATTTCATATGACATGAAGTTCTAATTTATGAATGTTTTCATTTAATTTTATTTAGTTACTTTTTTTTTTATTTTGTTTCTTGCATGTGGCAATCGAAAGATGTGAAATATCTAAAGCTTGAACGAAAGTTGTTTATTGTGTTGAATTCCACGACGATAGTAACTTGAAATATTTAGTTAGTTATGATGCTGAATACGCATAATTTGCTATTATTTACGTTTAAAACTGATTTCGCAGTGCTCTTATCTGATAAGTGTATACATTATTTATCAATAAATATTACAGAATTGGTCCATTCTACTATTTTATGATGAATTAAATATCATAGGACTATGCTTTTACTTGCAAAGCTGTTGGACTTTGTTTTACTCATCTAGTATTTTATCATCTCATTTTACTCATCTAGTATTTATTCTATTTACATAAAATAACGGCGTTTCACTACTGCAAAACTTAAAAGTTACTATTCTTTTTACGTTTAAAAATCACATTTTAGTGCTTTCATTTAGTTTGCTTAAAAAATTCGCCAAATTTTGAAGGCCAAAATAGTTTGGCGCCAACTTACCCCGCTTATGGAATTTTAGCCCGGTACAGTGCTGCCAATGCTCGCTTTGAAATCTTTGAGTTTATTAATAGAAAATTCGTTAAAGTTTGATGACAAAATATGAAATAGGTAATAAAACAAATTCTAAATTCAAAATTTGGGCTTTCAGGTGCCTACATTCGGGTATAGGATTACGTTATTTAAATTTGGATGGCTTTAGGTACGTTGTTTTTCGCTATGCAAGAAACATACATCTGTAAAATCTGTAATCCTCAAAATCTGTAAAATTAATCCCACAAACCCTAACAGAATGCTGTGGCATCGAAATGTATAGCAGTTTATAAGGTATTTTATGTTAATTAACGCACTTTTATTTATTCGAACCTATATTCCTATTTCTCGAGGAAATAAATGAATTGAGAGTGACCGAATTGAGAATTTTGAATGGCTTATGTAAAGAGCCTTTGGCAGTTCAATTCAGTTGACGATCTATGGGCACACATCATCGTTACTAATGGTCAAGAGGTATAGCCCCACCATTAAGTAGATTTATTTTAAATAATAGTAAGCAAATAATTATATTTTTCATATTACAATACGCAACTTAGTTTTGCGTCCAGAATAATAGCACTATTCACACACCATTCCATTCTTAATGACAATTAAAATCTATAAAGGTTAATAAGATTTAACAGTATTTTAAGGTACCCCTCAAATTGCATTAAATCCAAAGATGTTCTTTATATGCATAAAATATTCAAAGGCAATTAGGATACATGCTTATTCATCTCTAACTAACATTCTTTGCTATGAAAAGGAAGAAAAAAGTATAATGCTATGAAAGCTAAACCGGTGACCATGTGAGTGTTGAACCTGTTTCTTAACACTTTGACTGCGAATTTAAGAAACATTACCCCTCTTTCTATCCAAATGAAAAAAAAATGTATCATAAAAAAGATAAATTTAGCATTTGGAATATCTTTGACAAATGGTTTTCAAGCAGTAGCTAATGGTAGGATACATATTTCCCACGCGTAGCGATCGACTTGCTAGAAGCACACCTATTTTATTCTGACAAACTTTATTAATATGAAATAGATTTACATCGTACGGTACAGGGTAAAGTATTCTTTGCATACCCCTACGTTCAACATTGGACAACTCACATTTGTTCTTTTCAAATGTTCGTTTGTGTACAACGGCGTCTTGATTTTCCAGCTATTGGAAGAGGATCTGCAACATTCAGGAGATTCTAAGGACTTTTTAACCCAGCAGTAATTTTTAAACTTTTAATGCGACATGTATGCCCCGTTAGCAGTCAAAGATTTAAATACATAATACTTCTGGTTAACCAACACAGCCTCATAGAATTTGAGATTGTTAATAAAGATAATTAAATGCATTTTATATTGCCAAATTTTAAGGAAAGAATTTTGCAAAACATGCAGCCGCTCTTGTGTAGATATTGCAAAACTATCTTAATGGCAGACCTATTCGATTCGCCAACAAGAATCTCCCTTATAGAAAAAGAATGCTACATTATGAAATTAAAGCATAGTTCACAATAACAGAGTCTGGCAAATGATTGCTCCATATTATTTATTAATTATTCGGTTTTGGTTGGACTTATTGAGATTACGTTAAAGCAAACTAGAGCTATTTGCCTAAGGGGCAGAGATACCCTCGTGAAAGACCTCGTGGAATGCTCGTATGCATGTTACACATCACAAAAATGACCATGCGACCAGCTCCTTCGTCTGAAATAGAATTCAGGCCGTTGGAACTACCAGTGTTCAGCGAGTTTACCGTTCGGCTGCTGTTGGGCCTTATATTATTCAGTTAGAAATTGCTAAGTGGCATTGGCAAATACAGCAACGTTACCATGAAAGAAACTGATTATATTGTTTAGATTAGAAATTAAATAATCTTTAAAGCTACCATATATAAATGCTGCCTAGACTTCACTGACTGAAACTGCAATATGATTTTAAGATATTAAATTTAATATTCAGTAAAATCATTCGGAATAATATATTTATGATCTTTGAAGTCTGATAGAACTTGACAGTCTTTAAAGCAAAACGACAAGAAGTTCTGAAGTTAGTATACTAGAATGGCTTGGTTTAAGTTAGTATATTCTAATACTGCAATATCTATGAGAATGGAAGATGTTACTTACCTTTACTCTTCTTGTTGAGGGTTTGGATGAATAGTCAGAGATGTCCCGGCCTTTTATATCTCCAGCAGCTGCTTTAATTCCTCACCAGCTGCACAAGAGGGTCAGCGAGGTCAAACCATAAATTTTTCCTCAAATGTGTATAAAGGGGAATAGTGGTAAGCCAGCTAATTACAATGCAATCAAGTGGGTGCATGCGTCGGAACGTAACCTTGTCGCGCAAAATAAACTTTGACCCTCATCAAACGTGTGACAGATTAAAGATAAGTTACGACATTTGCAGCATATGCTAAAAAAATCACGTTTTGTATCCAGTGGAAAAAAAAAATTCAGGATTACGATATCTAAAACAGAATCTCGGATAAAGAACAGGAAATGTACGTCAGTTTCGGTGATGATGCATTAATTGTAGCTGAAGCTTCTGGAATTACAATTGACCTTCGTATGATTTCTTGGAATGTTATTTTTGAGCTTTTAACATTAATTTCCATATTTTTTTTCTTTTATGGGTATGATTAATACAATGTTAAATTTTTGGTTTATAAGAACATGATGCAGTTGAATAATCAGATTTTATTTGAATTCAGACAAAATGATTCAAAATCAAAGATCACAAATACATTTGAAGCAATTTTGTCAAAACAGCTCTTGTGTGGCTATGGAACGTACAGCAGAAACCAGTCACTGCTCGTGAGCCGCGTGCGAAAATCTCAACTCGTTCTGCCTTGTATTGTATAACCCAAAACTGAATGAAAGAACACTAAATTTCAGGAAACTTTGAATTCGAAATATAGGCTTAGATGGATTATATTTGTGGGTATAATTGTTGCCACAAAAAGAATAACTCTAAAGCACTAAAATCAGTGTTTTACGAATTGAAATTCGCAATTCGAGATTCGAGATCACAGAGCCCACTAGCGGCCGAGCGGTAAAGTCGCTGAACACTAGTAGTTTGGTCCGAGGTTCGAACGGGCTTCCTGCATGGGCGTTTTCGTGGGTTTCCCCATGTGTAACGTGTATACGAGCCAGTTTTCCTTAGAAAGTCCTCCACGAAGGCATCCCTCCCCTTAATTAGCCCAGGCAGATAGCTCTCGAGGCTTTGCTATAATCACACACACACACACACACATTCGAGATCACATTTAAGTTGTGAAGAACTGAAGGAAAATCATTAGGAATAACAACTGCATATACTCTGTAATTCTACCATGATTAAAGAATGAAAATATATAATTTCATCAGATGAACTTTAGAATAAATTTTGAGTTGCATTCGAATATATCTAAAGAAAATCAATGGTATTTTAGTATAACTGCTATTATGTTTTAATTTGACATCATACCTATTTATGAAGATGTAATTTGACTGCATAAATTTACTGTCAGATACCAACTTAAAGAAAATTTATTTATACTAGACTTTTGCAATTGCTTATGAACTTGTTTTTCTTTTGGTAGTGGCATTGGTGGGAAGAAGGCTATATACCTTTACACATGAAGTATACAAAATAAGTATATAAGATAAAAAATTAATATGTGTAATGAAAAGAGAAAAGTACGTACCAATGGTAATGGCGTAGAACGTAGATCCATACTGAAGAAGAGGAATTCTGATTGTGCAGAATACTAAAATATTGAATCTGTAATGACTAAAAAACTTGGCAGCCGTGTGAGATTAAATATTCATTTTTATTTCAATTGACATTTGCGGCCACAATTTACTTGACACTCTAATGGTGCCTATTCAAGAACATTTATATTTTTGAAAGCGTTGCGGTAGGAAGTGAGCACAGCGAAACAGCGTCATTACAGGAAGAGAGGCAGAGGCTAAGTACGCAATTATTCAGTATGGAAGCTCGCCAACAGAAGGTCTTGGTTTAGGTTAAAAAGGTTTTAGTTCTCAAAACTTAGAGTTCAAGTTCCGAATTAGCTACGTTATTAGTTTACGCAAGCTATGTGACATAGATTAATCTAAAAATGGACGGTCCAGAAAAGGTATTACTATTTTTAGAATACAGAAAGGAATTACACAAACTAAAAATGAGGAATTATTACTAAATTAAATTATAAAGTTGATTTGCATATTTTTTTATCTTACATATATATGTCTAGAAACCAGACTTCGTGAATTTCATTTTTTTTGCATCGAAATTAATGAGTTAATTTCTCTCACTCAACTCTGAAACAAACGCATTTTGTTTTCCAAAATACATATTACAAGCAAATAGAGGGATTAGCCATGGGAAGCCTCCTCAGTCCCATTCTGACTGATATCTACATGCATTATTATGAATCTAAATTGTTTGATACTTCCCGGTATGGTTCCGCTACGTAGACGATACTTTTACCCCGTTTGAAGATAATAAAGATGATTTGGGTAAAGTTCTTTCGACAGTGAATTCCATTGATCCTGCTATTCGGTTCACGTTTGAACTTGAGACTTGCAATTCTCTTCCGTTTCTCGACATTCTGGTCACACGTAACACATCCAACTTCAGTACTACGGTTTACCGTAAATTTTCATCGGTTTGCCTTTCACCACTCTTCAAATCATGTCATCCGACTAAACAAAAGTTAGCTTCATTTTATTCCTATGTTTTCCGTGCTCTTCAAGTTTGCTTCTCCAAACTATCCCTTGATGAAGTACTAAATTATTTAAAAGCAATAGCTATTGACAGGGGCATTTCACCCAACATTTTTAATAAAGCAGTTAAAAATTCTCATCTCAACACACCAAAAGACACACTCTTGTTTTAGGAGATTATAAAAATTCTGTTGTCAATCCCTTTTTTTCCATCAATTAGCTATAAATTTGCATGTATTTTGCAGAAATTTAACTTTCGGGTCGTTTATTCTCCCATCAATAAAATTCCGAGTTCCATACACAAAGACCCCCATTCCGGATATGAATTCCTGGGGTATTTACAGGATTCCTTGCCAGTGTGGCTTAATTTACATTGGCAAACTAGGCCTTAAAATTTCTCGTTAATGTACATGAGACATATGTTAGAAAAAAGGAAACACAGAAGTCTTCTGTTGTCCAACATTGTTGGTCCGAAAATCACACTTTCAATTTTTCTGTTGCCAAAATTATTCAAAAAACACCTTCCATTGATAAACTGGATTTTATAGAGGCATTTCACATTAAAAAAATCTTTCTGTTCTACTTAACGACCCTAATTCCAATCCATCTTTGCATTCAGCCTTCAAATAAATTATGTTTTAGTTCTGGTTTCATCAACAGATGGCGCCAGTAGCTTTTCTCCTGTCCAGGCTTTCTTATCTTATCTAAACATTATATCTTATCTCGTTCATTTGCGCTTTTGCAGCTGAAGATGATGGTTCTGTAAAACCATCGAAACTAGTCCTGTGAAAATTTGAAAAATATTACGCTGATTTTTGTTGTTTGACTTCTAAATTAATATATATGTTTATGACGTATGAAAGGCGAATATGTAAGATAAAGGAGAAGTATGCAAAAATAATGCATAAGATAAAAAAGTGAATATGTGTATGTTAATATGTGTGACATATAAACATATAAGCATATATATGTTAGCTATGTTTTTGAAAGTGTAAAATATTGTCAGCTACTTGCTAGTTTTGTTTTAATGCAAAATTGCGCTTTTAAAGAAGCAGTGGATGGAAGGGTATCTTTGCGTTCTTTCCGAAGAAATTTATTCGTATCTAGTTACTAAAAAACGTTAGTTTTTCGATATCTAAAGCTACGATAAGTAATGTTGTCAACAACAAAGGAAAATAACGTCAAAATTTAGCTCCAAGTGGAAACATTGTTCCACATACGTATCCAAGGGAAAAACAGAATGTTTCGAATGTTGCAAAAGTAAGGATTGTAATGTTAAACAAACATCCGCCAAATCAAAGGACAGTTGCATAATCAATAAAGTGTTCAGTGTCAACTGACAAAGTGATTAATGCCGATTTGAACCTTAGAAAGACTAAAAAACATAATGTGCATCGTCCTTCTCCATGATATATCGCCGAACTCAGAATGCGCTGCAGAATTCTTTATGAGAATCATTTATCCGGACCAAAATAGAAAAATATTATCACAATAGACGAATCTTGGGTGCACTTAAATGACTGCAATAAAAATGGATCCATTTATTACCATCAAAAAGGAGAAAATGATCTTAAAACAAAATGATCAAGAAATTGAAAGAAAGCTTTTCTAACCTATTTATGACTGTTGCTAGTTTTTTATATAACGGCAAATTAAAAATAAACACAGGGGAGAAAAATGTTAAGATCAACTCCACATATTATCTAAAACATATTTTATATCCAGTTTTTAAATATGAAATAACTTTGCTTTACATACAGTGAGACCAATCAGTAAAACTGCATCAAGACAAAGCGAGAAGCGACACATCTAAATCTACTGTTAAGGGGTATCAGAAACCCCTATACCGACAATGTTAAATTAGCCATTTTCGATGTACGTTTTCTCAAAATCTGCTGTAGATACGAGCTTGAAATTTTTTCTGTAATTAAAGTATACCTATCTGATTATACTGAAATGAGCTTTTGAAACATTTTGAATTTTAGAGTAAATTACAGAATATTTTGTTAGGCATAGTAAAATTTAGCACTTCTCTCACACAAAAAAAAAAAAAAAAAAAAAATTTCTAAGTTTATTACAAAAAGCTCATTTCAGTAGATATTAGGGAACCTAATAAATACGCCATAAAAAGTTTAGATACCTGTGAACAAACTCTTGCCTTCCAATCGGTATAGTGGTTAGCGTCGCTGACTGCCGTGCCGAAGGGCCCGGGTTTGAATCCCGGAGAAGGCATGGATGTTTGTAAATGTATGTAGTGTCGGTGCGGCATTGTGGCACTTAAGATATGCGGTGAGCTGAAAGCTTTTTTGTGTGGTTTTGTTGGAAGGGGAGAGGGATGGGATACCCTCGGACCCGTAACCTCCCGGAGTGCTCTCCATCAAATTTGAGAGGGGGCGAAACTTAGCCAAATCGCACCTGATATGTGCACTTCCCGGGCACT